TAAAACAGAAAAAATAGCTGGGCATCGGTGGCGGGCGTCTCTATAGAGAGCCCAGCTACTCCGGAGGTTAATGCAGGAGAAATGGCATGAGTAGAGACGGGGTTTCACCATGTTAGCCAGGATAGTCTCGATCTCTTGACCTCGTGATCCACCCGCTTCAGCCTCCCAAAGTGCTGGGATTACAGGTGTGAGCCACCGTGCCCGGCCTGCCCTTTTTAAAAAAATAAAATTTGTATTTTTTTGTGGTAGTGCTCCTTGTGGAGCAGGGCTACCTTATAGGCAGTGTGTCCAGAGTAGCCTGGACATTGTATTTAGCAGAAATTGACTGGGTCGTTTTCACTTTGGCTTTTGACTTGACTGGTTCTGCTGTTCTGGAATTATTTTAGTAACATTAATAATTTCCTAGCTTATTTTCATAATTTAGAAGCTAGTTCTTTAATATTTTTGAAGTCTTGGCATCCAGGAGATATGCTGAAATTGGGAATCCCTGTTTTATAGGAGACTGTTGATTTTTGAGGGATATGGTTCCCTTTTTAAGAGAGAATCTCTTATATGTGCTGATACAGGTATGTTTCAGGTTATATAGGCATCTGAAAGTAATATGTAGTTGAGAAAGAGGGTATGAGAACATAAGACTTATTTTTAGCTTAGAATCGTCAGCAACATTTCTGGCATTTTCTTTTCATATTTTTTTTGTTCCTTATCTTTACAGTAGCATAACATGATTGTAATGAGCTTGAGTTAATGTGTGTGTTGGGAGTGTGGTGGTTTGTATGTGTGGGACTGTTGAGTAGTGGTTTACTGGGAAAAATGGGTTATTAAGCAAAGAAAATGATAATAAAGCCATTCCTTTTCTTTAATTGTTAAATTATGTAATATACACATTAAAATATTTGTGTAGTTTATATAGGTAAGGAAAAATATAAATTTAAAGTTATAAAATAAGCCTATTTCCACTATCAGGAAATGGTCATCTTTTAACATTTTGGTATGTAATCTTGTGCACCTTTTCTATGTGTATAAATACATGTGAATTTGTAGATAAATGTTTTATAAAAACTTGTATTATGCTATATAATTTTTTTCCACTCAATATATTGGCATCCATAAATATACGTAAAAATAATGGTTATATAGTGTTCCATTTTATGACGGCACCATGATGTATATTATGTTCCCTATTGTTCATTTAGATTCTTTGAAATAATGGGATCTGTGTAATTCTAGTTATATATACACTGCTCTAATCCTTGTATATCCTTGTAATGTATATCCTTGTATATACATCTTTGTTGGCTTCACTGATTACTTAGGATAACTTAGTACTTCTTGGTCAGATTGTCCATAATGATTTTTAAGGCTTTTTGCTTTGTTTTTTTTTTTTTGAGACAGAGTTTCGCTATGTCGCCCAGACTGGAGTACAGTGATCCCATCTCGGCTCACTGCAGTCTCTGCCACTCAGGATCAAACGATTCTCGTGCCTCAGCATCCCTGGTAGCTGGGATTGCAGGCGCTTGTCACCAGGCCCAGCTAATTTTTATATTTTTAGTAGAGATGGGGTTTTGCCACGTTGGTCAGGCTGGTCTTGAACTCCTGACCTCAAGTGATCCACCTGCCTCAGCCTCCCAAAATGCTGGGATTACAGGCGTGAGCCACCGCACTCTGCCGACTTTTTGCAAGTTAGTACCAAATTGCCCTCAAGGAGCGGAAGACCCTCAAACAAAATCTACCTTGTGACTCTCGCCCAGGCTGGAGCGGAATGGTGTGATCTCAGCTCACTGCAACCTCTGCCTCCTGGGCTCAAGCAATCGTCCCACCTCAGCCTTCTGAGTAGCGCCACCACACCTGGCTAAATTTTTGTGTTTTTAGTGGAGACCAGTTTTTGCCATGTGGTCTCGAACTCCTGGCCTCAAGTGATCCGCCTGATTTAGCCTCCCAAAGTGCTGGGATTACAGACATGAACCACCATGCCCAGCCTGTGCACTCTTTTTCTTTTTCTTTTTTTTTTTTTTTTTCCCTGAGACGGAGTTTTGCTCTTGTTGCCCAGGCTGGAGTGCAATGGCGTGATCTCGGCTCACTGTAACCTCTGCCTCCCAGGTTCAAGTGATTCTCCTGCCTCAGCCTCCCAAGAAGCTGGGACTACAGGCACTTGCCACCGTGCCCGGCTAATTTTTGTATTTTTAGTAGAGACGGGTTTTCACCATGTTGGCCAGGAGGGTGGTCTTGTGAACTCTTGACCTAAGGTGATCTCCTCACCTCCCAAAGTGCTGGGATTACAGGTGTGTGCCACTGTGCCTGGCATTCTTTTTTAAAAGGTAAGAGTCTGGCTGCAGAGGAACCTTATACCTGAAATGTTTTGCTGTCTGAATTCACTCCAGAGTGAAATGACTTGAAGTACAAGTTTTGTGACTACTAGAATTTTTGTGTCAGAGGCTTCTCCTTCTGCCATTTTTTGAACATTTTCCTAGAATTACAAAAAAATCATTCCACATTTCACAGTATGTTGCTAGGAATCTGACCAGGTCCAGTTCATAATTTTAAACTTTAGAGTTTTAAAAACATGTATGCTTATGCTGTAAGCAAATGGAACCCCAGGAGTAAGTGATAACTTTCTGTTTTTCCTCATTAGGTTTCAACTTTCTGTGCTGTGGGGTCAGCCATAAGAGAGGTAGATTTGATGTGTATCTGTGCTAAAGAAGCATGAGCTCCTTACAGTAACTAGCAGCCAACTCCTCTTCCCAATAACATTTGCAGACTTCTTGGAGTGGTAGTTCATGGTCTTCTAAGAAGGCTGTGGATGCCTTACAAGCATTATTTGACTCTAGCTCCCATATCTCACTGCCCTCTCCAAAAAAGATGTTATCCTAACCTGGAAGTATCTTTTCTCAGAATTTTTCAGTATATTATGAATCAGTGACTACCTTTTCTCTCCCTTGAAATTTTCCTGTAACTTCATGTTCATTTCCTTTTGTTTCGGTAAACCTGTCTCAACTCTTTTCCTTTTCTCTTTCTGTTGTACCTCTCGTTTCCCCTGACCCTTCCTGTCCTGTAGATGGTATTTCATAATTCACAGTGATAATAATTGCTAGCATTTATAGACATTTATTGTAGATTAAGTAGAGCATTTATTATAGATTAAGCCTATATATAACTTGTTTAATTCTCATAACAACCTTAGGAGGTACATGTTGTTTCTTCCACATTTTATAGATAAGGTAGCCAGTCTGCTCTAGAGAAATTTTAACCAACCTACCCAAGGTTACCTACTTAGTAAATGGTTTTTTTTTTTTTTGAGACAACGTTTTGCTCCATCACCCGGGCTAGAGTGCAGTGCTGTGATCTCAGCTTACTGCGACTTCCGCCTCCTGGGTTCAAACAATTCTTGTGCCTTAGCTTCCAGAGTAGCTGTGACTACAGGTGAGTGCCACCACGCCCAGCTAAGTTTTGTATTTTTGGTAGAGACGGGATTTCTCCATGTTGGCCAGGCTGGTCTTGAGCTCTTGGCCTCAAGTGACTCACCCACTAGGCCTCCCAAAGTGCTGGGATTACAGGCTTGAGCCATTGTGCGCAGCTGTAAATGTTAAATCTAGTATTCAAACCTAGCAAACCTAGGTGTTCTGATTTCTTTTTGTTTCTTCTTCTTCTTTTTTTTTTTTTTTTTTTTTTGTTTTCTCTGGGATATAGATTTTCAGGTGTTCTGATTTCAGAGCCTGCATTCCTACCCACTGTGCTGCTGCTCCCCTCACTAATTTGAAAGTCTGTGTGTGAACTAACTTTACTTAAAACCGGGTTAAATATTTGTTGTTACTGTCTGAACCAAGAGTCCTTGGGTTGAAGGAGAGGGTAGTACAGAAGGGAACTTCTCCTTCTGACTTTAGCCTTCCTAAATCAACAAAATTCTGAGCTCCTTTGTGTACAGTAGGTGGAATTGTTGTTCATTCTTTCAGAAGCATTTTGATTTTATTAATGTATTAATTTATTTATGTAGTTTGAGACAGGGTCTTGTTCTGTCACCCAAGCTGGAGTGCAGTGGCACAATCATAGCTCACTGCAGCCTTGACCTCCCAGGCCCAAGCCATCTTCCCACCTCAACCTCGCAAGTAGCTGGGGCTACAGATGTGTACCACCATGTCCAGCTAATTATCTTTTCTTTCTCTTTTTCTTCTTTTTTTTTTTGTTTTTGAGATGGAGTCTTGCCCAGGCTGGAGTGCAGTGTTATGATCTTAGCTCACTGCAACCTCCACCTCCTGGGTTCAAGCGATTCTCCTGCCCCAGACTTGCAAGTAGCTGGGATTACAGACACATGCCACCACGTCTGGCTAATTTTTGTATTTCTTTATAGAGATGAGGTTTCAGCATGTTGGCCAGGCTGGTCTTGAATTCTTGGCCTCAGGTGATCCACTGCCCACTTTGGCCTCCCCAAGTGGTGGGATTACAGGTGTGAGCCACTGCACCTGGCAGTGTTAAAATTGTTAATGTCTGGTTACAAAGACAAAAAGGTATTTTCTATGCTAGTGAGAACCTTAACATCTATAAAACTGTGAAACTGCACTTTCAAGTATCAGACTTGAAAGTTTCTGCTCCTCTAGAATACTGGCATTGCCTAATTCAGAACAAAGGTAATCTCACTGAAAGAAAGGTACTTTCATATTCTTTTTACAAATGATGTTGATGAGTGTTGCTAGAGGAACAGTGTTGTTAATTTCCTTGAGAGGACCTGAAGGAGGACAACTATACCCTTAATCCTATCAGTGAAAATGAAACATTTCCTTGTCTCAAGGAAAAGGAGGGGGTACCTTGAGGGAAGAATATATGTGTTCATGTTGTCCATTAGCAAATCTGAGATTTAGTTAGTTTGTTAGAGCATTCTAGTTCCATTGGTGTTTTATTGTTCCAGCTGCTTTCTAGGTGGCCAGGAAATTAAAAACCAAAGATGAGGCCGGGCTCAGTAGCTCACACCTGTAATCCCAGCACTTTGGGAGGTCAAGGTGGGTGGATCACAAGGTCAAGAGATCTAGATCATCCTGGCCAACATGGTGAAATCCCGTCTCGACTGAAAATACAAAAATTAGCTGGGCGTGGTGGTGCGCACCTGTAGTCCCAGCTACTTGTAAGGCTGAGGCAGGAGAATCGCTTGAACCTGGGAGGTGGAGGTCGCAGTGAGCCGAGATCGTGCTGCTGCACTCCAGCCTGGCACCAGGGTGAGACTCTAACTCAAAAAAAAAAAAAAAGCCAAAGATGATTCAGAAGGAAGTTTTGAATTAGGGATCATGAATGTGGGTTCTAGTTTTGGCTCTTATCACTGCCTATGCTTTGATTTTGAGCCCATTCCTTAACCTCTTCCTCTGTGTTCTTATAATAAAAGGGATTAGGCTAAAAGTTAGACCAACAATCTCTTTCTGAATGATTTTGTTCTAATATAAGTGGTTATTGACTTGTAATAAGTGGTTTTAGCTTGAAAATTGGAAAGTAGCCGGGCGCGGTGGCTCAAGCCTGTAATCCCAGCACTTTGGGAGGCCGAGACGGGCGGATCACGAGGTCAGGAGATCGAGACCATCCTGGCTAACACGGTGAAACCCCGTCTCTACTAAAAAATATGAAAACTTAGCCGGGCGAGGTGGCGGGCGCCTGTAGTCCCAGCTACTCGGAAGGCTGAGGCAGGAGAATGGCGTGAACCCGGGAGGCGGAGCTTGCAGTGAGCTGAGATCCGGCCACTGCACTCCAGCCTGGGCGACAGAGCGAGACTCCGTCTCAAAAAAAAAAAAAAAGAAAATTGGAAAGTAGGCTAGGCACAATGGCTCACGCCTGCAATCCCAGCACTTTGGGAGGCTGAGGTGGGCAGATCACTTGAGGTCAGGAGTTCGAGACCAGGCTGGCCAACATGGCAAAACCCTGTCTCTACTAAAAATACAAAAATTAGCTGGGTGTGGTGGGGCACACCTGTAATCCCAGCTACTTGGGAGGCCAAGACCGGAGAATCACTTGAGCCCAGGAGGCAGAGGTTTCAGTGAGCTGAGATCACACCAGTGCACTCCAGCCTGGATGATAGAGCAAGACTCTCATCTCAAAAAAAAAAAAGAAGAAGGGCTGAGTGCAGTGGCTCACGCCTGTAATCCCAGCACTTTGGGAGGCTGAGGCGGGCAGATCACTTGCATTCAGGAGTTCGAGACCAGCCTGACCGACATGGTGAAACGCCATCTCTACAAAAAATACCAAAAAAATTAGCCGGGCATTGTGGTACATGACTGTAATCCCAGCTACTCGGGAGGCTGAGGCAGGAGAATCTCTTGAATCTGGGAGGTGGAGGTTGTAGTGAGCCGAGATTGCACCATTGCACTCCAGTCTGGGCGACAAGAGCGAAACTCCATCTTAAAAAAAAAAAGAAAGAAAATTGGAAAGTAGGCCTTGTGTCGTGGCTCATGCTTCTAATCCCAGTATTTTGGGAGGCCGAGGTGGGAAGATCGCTTGAGCCCAGGCATTCAAGACCAGCTTGGGCAACATAGCTGAACCCTGTCTTTTTTTTTTTTTTTTGAGACGGAGTCTTGCTCTGTCGCCCAGGCTGGAGTGCAGTGACCGGATCTCAGCTCACTGCAAGCTCCACCTCCCAGGTTCACACCATTCTCCTGCCTCAGCCTCCCGAGTAGCTGGGACTACAGGCACCCGCCACCTCGCCTGGCTAGTTTTTTTGTAATTTTTTAGTAGTGACGGGGTTTCACCGTGTTAGCCAGGATGGTCTCGATCTCCTGACCTCACGATCCGCCCGTCTCGGCCTCCCAAAGTGCTGGGATTACAGGCTTGAGCCACCGTGCCCGGCCTGAACCCTGTCTTTACATATTCTTTCCTTTTTTTTTTTTATTTTTCCCCGAGATGGGGTCTCCCTATGTTGCCCAGGCTGGTCTCAAAACCCTGGGCTCAATTAATCCGCCCATCTTGGCCTCCCAAAGTACTGGGATTATAGATGTGAGCCACTGTGCTCAATGCCTGTCTCTGTTTTTATTTATTTTGTTTTTTTGAGACAGAATGTCACTCTGTTGCCCAGGCTGGAGTGCAGTCGCGCAATCTCTGCTCATTGCGATCTCCGCCTCCCAGGTTCAAGCGATTCTCCTGCCTCAGCCTCCTGAGTAACTAGAATTACAGGTGGGTGTCATCACGCCCGGCTACTTTTTTGTATTTTTAGTAGAGACGGGGTTTCACCTTGCTAGCTAGGATGATCTCGATCTCCTGACCCTGTGATCTGCCTGCCTTGGCCTTCCCAAATGCTGAGATTACAGGCATGAGCCACCATGCCTGGCTTGCCTGTCTCTATTTTAAAAAAGTCAGCTCTGGCCGGGCACGGTGGGTCAAGCCTGTAATCCCAGCACTTTGGGAGGCCGAGACGGGCGGATCACGAGGTCAGGAGATCGAGACCATCCTGGCTAACACGGTGAAACCCGGCGCTTTTACAAATTCGAAAAACTAGCTGGGCGAGGTTGGTGGGGCCTGTAGTCCCAGCTACTCGGGAGCTGAGGCAGGAGAATGGCGTTGAACCCGGGAGGCGGGCTTGCAGTGAGCTGGATCCGGCCCCTGCACTTTAGCCTGGGTGAAGGCGAGACTCTGTCTCAAAAAAAAAAAAAAAGGCAGCTCAGATTAAGAAGTTTGATTATCCAAACTTGTTTTATTTTTCTTCTGTGGATTTTTTTCCTTTACTTAATTATACAATCATCAGATGCACGTGAAGTAGAGAGCCATAGTATAATGAGCTTCCATGTACTGTATCACCTAGCTTTTTTTTTTTGTTTTTTTTTTTTTAAGACAGGGTTTTGCTCTTTCGCCCAGGCAGGAGTGTGATGGTGTGGTGTGATCTCGGCTTACTGCAGCCTCCGTTCCCTGGGTTCAAGCGATTCTCCTGCCTCAGCCTCCAAGTATTTGGGATTATAGGCGCCCGCCACCTTGCCCAGCCAATTTTTTTGTGTTTTTAGTAGAGATGGGGTTTCACCATGTGGGCGATTCTGGTCTCGAGCTCCTGACCTCAGGTGATCCACCTGCCTTGGCCTTCCAAAGTGCTGGGATTACAGGCGTGGGCCAGTGTGCCTGGCCTATCACCTAACTTTGATAGCAGCATTTTGCCAATCTTCTTGCATCTATACTTCATTTTTCTACCTCTACCTTCCTGGAATATTTTAAAGCAAGCCCAGTCCTCATGGGATTTCATTCCTAAATACTTCAGAACGTATAAATACACTTAAGGAATCTTTTAGAGGTGAGGATGGGAGAGTATAATATAACTACAATAGTAGTGTCACATCTATAAAATTAATATTTAACTTTTCTTCTCAAAACTCTTTTCTCAGAAATGTCTTTTTATGGTTTATTTTTTTCTAATCAGCACTCAAACAGGTTTTGCACATTATATTTGGTTATTTCTCCTGAAATCCTTAATTAAAATAGTTTCCAAACCCTGTAGTATTTTTTGAGGGACAAATGAGATATATTTGTAAGTTTCCAAAGTGTTTATACAAACGTAAGTTGTTCGGTCATAGGAGAGAAATAACGTTTCTAAAAATATATCAGCATTGCAGTTTAGTGTTAATAGTCAGCATTAAAGAGAAATGAGAGAATGTGGAGATGCCTGAGTGATGGAGAAAAAAGCAGGAATAATTTTGCATTGAACCGAGGCTGAGATATATTAAAATTGAGCCAGTGTGGAGAAGCTGGCCTAGGACCTTCTCTGTAGCATTTGTAGCCAAGCTATCAGCATTTATAGCCAAGCTATCACCTATATACCCACTCTTGGATAATAGGTTCTCCTCTCTTATCGTACATGCCACACTTCCAAGTGTGGACTGATGATAATAAAGACATTCAAATAATGCCCTTTGAGAGTTTTGCCTTAGATGGGGGGCTGCAGGTGTCAAGATTTTCAGATAAAATATTTTCTTCTAGGGAAGAATAAACTTATAATGCTGTCTCCCTACCCAAAATGATAATGATATATATAAATCATGGGTATGGATTCCAAAATGATAATGTATACCTACAGTATTTTTCACAAGGACACTAGAAAACATTTTCTGTTGAACAGTATTCTGGTTTTATCCATAGGGATGAATCTCATTCTCTTTAAAAATTGTCTGGCTAACAGCCAGGTTCAGTGGTGCAGGCTGATAGTCCCAGCGACTCAGGAGGCTGAGGTGGGAGGATCACTTGAATCCAGGAGTTTGAGACCAGCCTGGGCAACATAGTGAGACCTCATATCTCCAAAAAAGAATAATAGCAAAAAAAGCAAAATCAGCTGGGCATGGTGGTATACGCCTGTAGTCCCCACTACTCAGGTGGCTGAGGTGGGAGCATCACTTGAGCCTGGAAGGTAGGGGCTGCAGTGAGCAGAGAGATTGCACCACTCTACTCCAGCCAGGGTGACATTGTGAGACCGTGTCTCAAAGAAAAAAAAAAATTAATATATGTGTGTGTGTGTGTATATATATATTTTTTCCTTTTTTTGGATTTAAAATAGGTATGATATTTTTCTCTTCTGTTCCTTGGTAGGTTGGATCTCTGATGTATGCCACAGGGGCAAAACTTTAGGCAAGGAAGAAAATAGTAGGTCTTGTGTCCTGATTCTGCTCCTCTCTTTGTCACTTGGTCTGAGTATTATTACTTAGACTCTAATAGCATCATCATTCTGCGTACTCTTGGAATTAGTCCCAGTTTTGCAGTCGCAGATAGCTAAGCAGTTGGCACCAAAATTCCATGGAGCAACATCTTCTTATCTTTTTTTTTTTTTTTTTTTTTGAGACAGAGTCTCGCTCTGCCGCCCAGGCTGGAGTGCAGTGGCGTGATCTTGGCTCACTGCAAGCTCTGCCTCCCGGGTTCATGCCATTCTCCTGCCTCAGCCTCCCGAGTAGCTGGGACTACAGGCGCCCACCACCTCGCCCGTCTAGTTTTTTTGTATTTTTTAGTAGAGACGGGGTTTCACCATGTCAGCCAGGATGGTCTCGATCTCCTGACCTCGTGATCCACCCGTCTCAGCCTCCCAAAGTGCTGGGATTACAGGCTTGAGCCACCGCGCCCGGCCTATCTTCTTATCTTTATTCTAGGTACTTTGCAAGAGTGTAGCAGCCCTAGAGCTACATGTTTGTGTGATAAAACTAGGAAAGGTAGCAAAGTAGAACTTTTTAGGGAGTAAGAAAGCTTCAAAGCCACTCTACATTGAAATTACTTCTCTGCTTTTTTTCCCTTGTTTAACTTTATTCAGTGACTTTTTGCATACAGAGGAGCTTACTTTCTGGGTGGTAACTACGAGACTAGAAGCAGATGCTGGCTATTGGTTCTCCCTGGTCTCTTTTAAACTCTTTCCTCTGGGTTAAAAGAGGAGAGGATAGGCCAGGTGCTGACCAAAGAGTCTAGAATCAGCATTTTTATTCTCAACTGAAAGCATGCAGAGTACCTCATTGAGAATCAGATTCCATAGTTGCTAGTGTGTACAAGCATGTGGGTATGTTGGGGGATGGGACAGCTGAGGGTTTTGGCAGGAACCGTATTCTTTGAGATGATGATTAGAATTTCACGAAGGTCTACGTAAATTGGAAATTAAACCTTGCTGTGAGCCTAACTTTGCTCTTGTGGGCACGGTGGCTCACGCCTGTAATCCCAGCACTTTGGGAGGCCAAGGCAGGTCGATCACGAGGTCAGGAGTTCAAGACCAGCCTGGCCAAGTTGGTGAAACCCTGTCTCTTCTAAAAAATGCAAAAATTGGCCATGCGCAGTGACTCACACCTGTAATCCCAACACTTTGGGAGGCCGAGGCTGGTGGACCACCTGAGGTGAAGAGTTCGAGACCAGCCTGGCCAACGTGGTAAAACCCCATCTCTGCTAAAAATATAAAAATCAGCCAGGCGTGTGGTGGGCGCCTGTAATCCCAGCTACTCGTGAGGTTGAAGCAGGAGAATTGCTTGAACCCGGGAGAAGGAGGTTGCAGTGAGCCAAGATTGCACCATTGCACTCCAGCCTGGGTGACGAGCAAAACTCCGTCTCAAAAAGAAAAAAAAAGGCCGGGTGTGGTGGCTCACGCCTGTAATCCCAGCACTTTGGGAGGCTGAGGCAGGTGGATCACGAGGTCGGCAGATTGAGACCATCCTGGCTAACACGGTGAAACCCCATCTCTACTAAAAATACAAAAAATTAGCCAGACGTGATGGCACATGCATGTGATCCCAGCTACTCAGGAGGTTGAGGCAGGAGAATCGCTTGAACCCAGGAGGTGGAGTTCACAGTGAGCCGAGATCCTGCCATTGCACTCCAACCTGGGCGACAGAGCGAGACTCTGTCTCAAACAAACAAAAAAAAACGGGCGGCAGAGCAAGACTCCATCTAAAAAATAAAAATAAAAAAAAGGGACAGGTGCGGTGGCTCATGCTTGTAATCCTAGCATTTTGGGAGGCTGAGGTGGATGGATCACTTGAGGTCAGAAGTTTGAGACCAGCCCGGCCAACATGGTGAAACCCCACCTCTACTAAAAACACAAAAATTAGCTGGATGTGGTGGGAGGCACCTGTAATCCCAGCTACTCGGGAGGCCGAGGCAGGAGAATCACTTGCAGTGAGCTGAGGTCATGCCACTACACTCCAGCTTGGGAAAAAAAGAAAAAAAAAAGTGATATTTCCCAGAGGAAATATGAATATTTGAGTAAGAAAGGGGGCTAGAATAAAAATGGAATATGCACAAGGCCTATGTGAGTATGGAGAAGGAGAGAGGGACATATAAAATTGCTATCCAAAAGGATCTGGTATCACTGAGCAAGAGGCAGGAGTTTACACTCATGTTTAGTTTGACTCAAACTCTGATGCCTTCAGTGTGCTTGATAGAGATGTGAATGTGTGATACACTCTTATGATTGTGTGTGTGTGTGTTTTTTTTTTTTTTTCCTCCTAGCAGCATCTGGAATCAAGAGACCTGTGGCACCTGAGGTGAGTTTCATATTGATACAATGGTTACTAAAACTTTAATTCTGGGATAGAAGGAACCTGTTTATGACATTTTTATTTTTTATCTACTTAGGTCTTGGAAGCTAAACAGGATTCTTACATCTCATTGGTAGGCTAGAAATTATGCAACTCAACTTTTATTGTAGTTTATTTTAAATATTAACAATATCTCACATTTATTGAGCATTTTAAATGTACCAAATGCAACGTGTACCAAAAAGTAAATATGGTACCTAAGTGCCCTTTAAGATATTCTTATTTAATCCTGCGAACAACTACAGTGAGGCAAATACTGTTATCTGTTTTACAGATGAAGAAAGTGAGGATTACATAGTTATTAAATGGGATTAGTAAAGCTGGGATTCAAACCCAGGCAGTCTGACACTAAAGCTCACTTTCTTAGTTTTGCTGTTATGGCCTCCTGATTACATACCTTCGATGAATATGAAGAACTTCTTTGAGCTATGCAGAAACTATTAGTTTCCCAAGTTTCTGTTTTTTGTCCAGAATATCGTCAGTTTGCTCAACTTTCTTCCCATGGAGTATTTCCTAACCCTCTTCTCACTTCTTGCCTCTCCCCTGGGTTTTGTGAAATGGGCCTCAGAATGCAGGCCCTTTTGACCTGGGACTTGAAGCTTTCTCTCAGAACATCTTCCAGCATCTGTCAGGTGATATACTGAGAGTTTTCTGGTACTAAGGGCCTTGGCTGAAGGAATAGAACTTGAATATCAGGTCTTAAGATTGGGACATCCAGCCAGTCACGGTAGCTCATGCTTATAATCCTAACACTTTGGGAGGCTGACGTGGGAGGATTGCTTGAGGCCAGGAGATCGAGACAGGCCTTTGCAACATAGTGAGACCCGGGTTCTACAAAAAATAAAACGTTAGCCAGGTGCACACCATAGTCCCAGCTACTTGGGATTGCTTGAGCCCAGGAGGTTGAGGCTGCAGTGAGCCATTATCACACCACTGCCCTCTAGCCTGGGTGACAGAGACAAGACCCTGTCTCAAAAAAACCCTGTGACATCCTGTTTCCACTGGTCTCTCAGCCTTCTGGCTTATTAACTTAATGCGTATTGATATCATGAAGAGTAATTTCATGTCTGTTGCTCTGGCATCTTGGCTCTTAGGGATAACGTTCTAGCTTTCTAGACTGCTGTACTGGTTTACTCCCTCTCTTCTTTCTTGCCTTTTTTTTTGTTTTTGAGATGGGAGTCGTTGCTCTGGTTGCCCGTGTGGAGGTACAGTGGCTGGGCTTGATTTGGCTCATGTTCCTTGGCCTCCCAGGTTGTCAGGCGACGGCATTCTCGGCTGCCTCGCCTCAAGCAGGCTGGGTACAGGTGACGTCACTGCTCGCCTAATTTTTGTTATTTTTATAGAGCCAGGGTTCATCCCTGTGCAGGCTGGTTTTGATCCCTGCCTCAGGTTGATCCCACCTGTCCCTTTTGTGGCCTACCAAAGTGTGCCTGGGCTTCACAGGTGGGTGAGTGAGCCCCCTGACCTGGTCCTGTCTTTCTTTTTTTTTTGTTGGACAGAGTCGCCCTGTTTGCGCCAGGCTGGAGTGATGTGGTGTATGATCGTTGGCTCGCTGCAAGCTTGCCTCCGGATGTCAGATGATTCTCCCACCCGCCTCCTGAGTAGCGGATTTACCAGACGCATGACCCCACATCAGGCAAATTTTTTTTTAGGTTGGGAGATGGAATTCACATGTTACCAGTCTGGCTCCAACGCCCTAGGCGTGACATATGATCCGTCCCCACCTTGGCCTTCATTTTGAGTAGCTGAGATTACAGGTGCATGCCACAGCACCGCCGACTATGTTTCTTTCTTTCTTTCTTTCTTTTTTTTTCTTTTCCTGGAGAGTAGTCTCCGCTTTGTTCACCAGGCGTGGTTAATGCGCAGTGGTGCAATCTCACTGCAACCTCCCGCCTCCAGGTTTCAAGCGTTCTGCGCTTGTCTCAGCCTCCCGAGTAGCTGGGATTACAGGTGCCCACTACCGTGCCTGGATAATTTTTGTGTTTTTAGTAGAGACAGGGGTTTCACCATCTTGGCCAGGCTGATGTTGAACTCCTGACCTCGTGATCCACCCGCCTCAGCCTCCCAAAGTGCTAGGATTACAGGCGTGAGCCACCGCACCCGGCCATCACCCAGCTATGTTTCTGCTAGTATTTAAAAATACTCACCTTTGGTTGGGTGCAGTGGCTCATACCTGTGCAGAGTCTCAAAAAAATAAAGAATAAAAATATTCACTTTTATTTTCTGTGTCTTCTGAGGACCAAAGGGAAAATATGTGTCCTTTGGAGTTTTCTTCTGTGATATTTTAGCCACTTAATTCATTGGGAACCAACATTATAGCTGTATATTTGTGTGGGATAGATCTTCTGAAGGTTTTGTAAAATGTTTTTAATCGGCCGGGCACGGTGGCTCAAGCCTGTAATCCCAGCACTTTGGGAGGCCGAGACGGGCGGATCAGGAAGTCAGGAGATCGAGACCATCCTGGCTAACACGGTGAAACCCTGTCTCTACTAAAAAATACAAAAAAACTAGCCGGGCGAGGTGGCGGGCGCCTGTAGTCCCAGCTACTCAGGAGGCTGAGGCAGGAGAATGGCGTGAACCCAGGAGGCGGAGCTTGCAGTGAGCTGAGATCGGCCACTGCACTCCAGCCTGGGTGACAGAGCAAGACTCCGTCTCAAAAAAAAAAAAAAAAAAAAAAAATGTTTTTAATCTAGAAAGAGTATATTGTTTCAGTTTATTTTGATACATCATTGTGGTAGCCATTTGGTATCTTACATGGGAATTTGTATTACAATCTTGACTCTTCTTCTAGGTGCCTTATGCCTCTGGCATGCCCATCAAGAAAATAGGCCATCGAAGTGTTGATTCCTCAGGAGAGACAACATACAAAAAGGTGTGTCTGGATGGAACCTTCTCATCTTACTCCAGGAGCTCAGCAGCTTACTCTGGGAACTCAGTCTCCTTGAAATTACTCTCTACATACTGACTGTCCTGTTTCTTGGTATCCTAAGCTTTTGCGCATAATACAGCTTAGACTTTAGAATTTATTTCTCAAAGGATAAATTGTCTCCTTTGTGTATATGAATGTTTAAATGAGAATTTTTTTGGCTGGGCACGGTGCCCCAGGTCTGTAATCCCAGCACTTTGGGAACCCAAGGCAGGCAGATCATTTTAGGCCAGGAGTTCAAGACCAGCCTGGCCAACATGATGAAACTCTGTCTCTACTAAAAATACAAAAATTAGCCAGGTGGCATACGCTTGTGGTCCCAGCTACTCGAGATGTTGAGGCAGGAGAATCGCTTGAACCTGGGAGGTGGAGGTTGCAGTGAGGTCAGATTGTGCCACTGCACTCCAGTCTTGGTGACAGAACAAGACTCCATCTCAAAAAAAAAATTTTTTTTAGTGAACAAATCTGGCTTTGGTTGCTATTTTACTGAGCTGAAGAAACTGGGTTTCCCTGTTAGGTGTAAATATGTAAGAAGGCCATGAAAACCATTCTTATCTTACCATAGGGAGCCATGTCTCTCACAGTCTTTCTGTCTTTTTCTCCATTGCTGGATATATATCAATAGAGGGCCAGGTCCCAGCCCAGCCTGTTTATACAAATATAGGCAATAGGTCAGATTTTTTTTCCTCTTTAATTTTTTTTAGAGCCAGGGTGTCAATCTGTCACCCAGGCTGGATTGCAGTGGCATGATCATAGGCAGGTAGCGGGAGGCTTCTGTAACCTCCGACTCCTTGGCTCAAGTGATCTTCCTGCCTCAACCTCCTGAGTAGCTGGGACTACAGGTGCACACCACCGCATGTGGATAATAAAAAATTAGTTTTATGAGATGATCTCACTGTGTCGCACAGGCTAGTGTCAAACTCCTGCCCTCAAGCATTCCTCCTGCCTAAACCTTCCAAAGTGCTGGAGTCACAGGGGTGATTGACCATGTCTTGCCTCCTTTTTTTCCCCACAAAGACAGTCATTTAGCTGGCGAATAGTACCTAGAACATCTGCTTTTTTGAGCTCTGAATATCAAATGGACTGGAAAGGAGCAGTAATAGTGAAAAAGTGGAAAGTGAGCTGGTGAAGGGAAAACAGAAGCATCCTGGATCCTTGAGGGATCCAAATTCTTGAGTTCTGGACTAATTTGCAGATGGTTTAGGCTTCCTGAGGGACAGTGTTCAGTCTCCCATTTAGCATCTGTAGTTTGTCTGATATGGGGTGTGAAGATTTCTTGGAGATATATTTCTGGCCTATGTAAATTTTGTGTTCGTTCTCTATTTCATTGTCCCAAGTAGCAGAGGTGGACTGACTCATTCTCAGTCAAGGACCTGACAGTCCCCAGAATGGGCTGTGAGGCTCATGCCAATTACTTTTACTGAGCTCTTCATTTAAAAATTTTTTTTTTTAAGAAATGGGATCTTGGCCGGGCGTGGTGGCTCAAGCCTGTAATCCCAGCATTTTGGGAGGCCGAGACGGGCGGATCAGGAGGTCAGGAGATCAAGACCATCCTGGCTAACACGGTGAAACCCCGTCTCTACTAAAAAATACAAAAAACTAGCTGGGTGAGGTGGCGGGCGCCTGTGGTCCCAGCTACACGGGAGGCTAAGGCAGGAGAATGGCGTAAACCTGGCCTGCCTAAACCTTCCAAAGTGCTGGAGTCACAGGGGTGATTGACCATGTCTTGCCTCCTTTTTTTCCCCACAAAGACAGTCATTTAGCTGGCGAATAGTACCTAGAACATCTGCTTTTTTGAGCTCTGAATATCAAATGGACTGGAAAGGAGCAGTAATAGTGAAAAAGTGGAAAGTGAGCTGGTGAAGGGAAAACAGAAGCATCCTGGATCCTTGAGGGATCCAAATTCTTGAGTTCTGGACTAATTTGCAGATGGTTTAGGCTTCCTGAGGGACAGTGTTCAGTCTCCCATTTAGCATCTGTAGTTTGTCTGATATGGGGTGTGAAGATTTCTTGGAGATATATTTCTGGCCTATGTAAATTTTGTGTTCGTTCTCTATTTCATTGTCCCAAGTAGCAGAGGTGGACTGACTCATTCTCAGTCAAGGACCTGACAGTCCCCAGAATGGGCTGTGAGGCTCATGCCAATTACTTTTACTGAGCTCTTCATTTAAAAATTTTTTTTTTTAAGAAATGGGATCTTGGCCGGGCGTGGTGGCTCAAGCCTGTAATCCCAGCATTTTGGGAGGCCGAGACGGGCGGATCAGGAGGTCAGGAGATCAAGACCATCCTGGCTAACACGGTGAAACCCCGTCTCTACTAAAAAATACAAAAAACTAGCTGGGTGAGGTGGCGGGCGCCTGTGGTCCCAGCTACACGGAGAATAGCTTGAACCCGGGAGGCGGAGGTTGCAGTGAGCCAAGGTTGCACCACTGTACTATATATAGCTTGGGCAACAGAGCGAGACTCTGTCTCAAAAAAAAAAATAAATAAATAAGAGAAATGGGATCTTGCTCTGTTGCCCAGACTGGAATGCAGTGGGTGCGTTGATGGCTCACTGCAGCCTTGAACTCCTGGGCTCAAGCCATCCTCCTACCTTAGCCTCCAGAGTAACTGGGACTATAGGCCTCAGCCACCACATCTGGCTTATTTAGCTTTTTTATTTTACTTTATTTTTTTCTAGGGAGTTTTGCTCTTGCTGCCCAGGGTGGAGTGCAATGGCGCGATCTCCACTCAGCACAACCTGCGCCTTCTGGGTTCAAGTGATTCTCCTGCCTCAGCCTCCCAAGTAACTGGGATTACAGGCATGCGCCACCATGCCTGGCTAATTTTGTATTTTTAGTAGAGATAGGGTTTCTCCATGTTGGTCGGGCTGGTCTTGAACTCCTGACCTCGTGATCCGCCCATCTTGGCCTCCCAAAGTGCTGGGATTACAGGCGTGAGCCACCGCACCTGGCCAGCTCTTTTTATATGTTGAATATTGAAATAAAAAGATGAGTTTCTGTTCTAACTGGGGAGGCAGACACTTAAAAACAACCGTAATAATTTATTTTCCTTTGACCTATTTGTACATTAAGAAAACTATTTGTAGGCTGGGCGTGGTGGCTCACGCCTGTAATCCTAGCACTTTGGGAGGCCAATGCAGGCGGATCATGAGGTCAGGAGATCAAGACCATCCTGGCTAAGATGATGAAACCCTGTCTCTACTAAAAATACAAAATATTAGCCGGGCGTGATGGCAGGCGTCTGGTGTCCCAGCTACTCGGGAGGCTGAGGCAGGAGAATGGCGTCAACCTGGGAGGCGGAGCTTGCAGTGAGCCGAGATCACGCCACTGTACTCCAGACTGGGCGACAGAGCAAGACTCCGTCTGAAAAAAGAAACAACAAAAAAAAAACAAAACTAGTTGTAATTTAATGCCCATTGAGGACCAAGTAGAAATATAAGTAATGTCTGGTGGAGGTTGGGGATGAGGCAAATAGAGCAAAGCTGTCTAATCAAAGTTTCTGTGATGATTGAAATGTGCTGTATCTGTGCTATCCAATATGGTAGCTAAAAGCCACACTTGTAAGACTGAGGAAATAAGTTTTAAATTTAAATTAACTTAAATTTAAATAGCCATGTGTACCTGGTTGGTACTGTTATCAGACACAAAGATCTAGATGATGCGATACTTTCCCACGGGCTTGGAATCCTGGATTGTAAGAGTGGGGCTCTTGCATTTGTGTTTTGACCGTAGTTTGATACTTCTAAATCTGAATACTACTCTCAGAAATAATTTGTCTTTCATGCTTTCTTCTTCAGTTAAGAGCTCTTTTACCACACTGTTGTCCTTTTGTTTGAGACAGTCTTGCTGTGTCACCCAGGCTGGAATATAGTGGTGTGATCTTGGCTCACTGCAGCCTCCACCTCCCAGCTTGAAGCAATTCTCCTGTCTCAGCCTTCCGAGTAGCCAGGACTACAGGTGCATACCACCTCACCCAGCTAATTTTTGTGTTTTTAGTAGAGACAGGGTTTTACCATGTTGGCCAGGCTGTTCTTGAACTCTTGGCCTAAAGTGATCTGCCCACCTCCGTCTCCCAAAGTGCTCGTATTAGAGGCGTGAGCCACCGCACCCACCCCACCTTTTTGTCCTTGAGACACTAGTCAGGCTAAACTTAGAGGCTAAACTTAGAGGACTAAAGTTTCTGCCACCAGGCAGTCAGATCAGAATATTAGTTAATTTTAGGGCTGGGCATGGTGGCTCATGCCCGTAATCCCAGAGCTTTGGGAGGCCTAGGCAAGTGGATCACCTGAGGTCAGGAGTTTGAGACTAGGCTGACCAACATAGTGAAACCCCATCTCTACTAAAAATATAAAGAATAAGTAAGGCATCATGGTGCATGCCTGTAATCTCAGCTACTTGGGAGGCTGAGGCATGAGAATCGTTTGAACTGGGGAGGCAAAGTTTGCAGTGAGCCGAGATGACGCTGCTGTACCCATTCCAGCTTGGGTGACAGAGCGAGACTCATTCTCAAAAAAAAAAAAAAAAAACCACAAAAAAAACCAGGAATGTTGGTTAATTTTAGTTACATTGTATATCAGATGAAGGAAATGTTTAGAGGGCTCCAGATACACTCTGGGGGCAGAAACCTTAGGAGTGGGAACTAACAATGTTCTGTCAATACTATGTGTCTTCCAAATACAGATATGGAACTCTTGTTTAGGTGGGCCAACAGGAGCACCTTGCCTAGCTGAGGCTGGCTCAGAGAGTCCAGCTTTGCTACTCTGTATCCTCACTGTCCTTCCAATCTTTACTAAGCTTAATTGCAGAGTACAGCAGCATAGGGATGGGGAGACTGGATTGTCCCAGTTTTATCTAAACTATTGCTCAGACTAAAGGACATTTGTTTTAAAGTGTTTCTTCTAGCTTCTCCCTTCTGAATTTTTATTGTTATGGTCCTACTTATACTAGGAATTTTCTTCTAATTTCTCTTGTTTCTCAGACAACCTCATCAGCCTTGAAAGGTGCCATCCAGTTGGGCATTACCCACACTGTGGGGAGCCTGAGTACCAAACCAGAGCGTGATGTCCTCATGCAAGATTTCTACGTGGTGGAGAGTATCTTCTTCCCCAGGTAGAGTTTAATGTTCAGGAGCATGTCCTGGAAATGTGGCCTTTTCAAATCAGCCCAGGGCAGTTTTAGGGGTTCAGGTCTGACAGTTTAGGCATGTGTCCAATTCTTAACCTCGTTATAATCAGGGTGTTGTGGGACTAGAGAGTTCGGAGAGCAGATGCTATCCTCTAGATGCTTCCATTAGCCTCTGTCCTATGGATTGACCTGTAAAAAACAATCTCATGCATTGGATAGGAGGCAGTATGATTCCTTCTTATTCTTATGTCTTGCTGTCCATGCTGTGCCATTGTCTCACTAAGTAACTCATCTAAGGGCCCTGATTCTCTTAGGAAGAATGTATTCCCCCACTCCCCCGACCATGAGGTGACTCTTGAGTGTCTTCGAAAGGTAGATTTTCTGGATGATAGGGACTGGCAAGTTATGGCTTCCTCTGTTTAACCCCACAGTGAAGGGAGCAACCTGACCCCTGCTCATCACTACAATGACTTTCGTTTCAAGACCTATGCACCTGTTGCCTTCCGCTACTTCCGGGAGCTATTTGGTATCCGGCCCGATGATTACTTGGTAAGCACCTGGATATCAGGACCCTGTGACTCCAGTATCAGAGGGATATTCCCAAAGGAAGGCCCCTTTTCTCCACAGTCTCGCTCTGGTTTTTATTTAGAAAAGAATTGCGTCTGTAGGTGATTTTTATGTTGGGCAAGGCCCTGATGTGTCTAAATCTCTTAGTTCTTCTCTGTTTGCCCCAGTATTCCCTCTGCAGTGAGCCACTGATTGAACTCTGCAGCTCTGGAGCTAGTGGTTCCCTTTTCTATGTGTCCAGTGATGATGAGTTCATTATTAAGACAGTCCAACATAAAGAGGCGGAGTTTCTGCAGAAGCTGCTTCCAGGATACTACATGGTAAGGCAGAGAGAATCACTGTCCACCTGTGCTGCCCACTTCTGGGCAAGACTAGGGAGGTTGTCTTCAGCAGGGTAAAACTGTCAGCACTTCTATCTTAAGAACGTAGTACAGGCCGGGTGCAGTGGCTCACGCCTGTAATCCCAGCACTTTGGGAGGCCGAGGCAGGCGGATCATGAGGTCAGGAGATCAAGACCATCCTGGCTAACATGGTGAAACCTCGTGTCTACTAAAAATACAAAAAATTAGCCAGGCGTGGTGGCAGGGGCCTGTAGTCCCAGCTACTCGAGAGGCTGAGGCAGGAGAATGACGTGAACCCAGGAGGCGGAGGTTGCAGTGAGCCAAGATTGTGCCACTGCACTCCAGCCTGGGTGACAGAGCAAGACTCTGTCTCCAAAAAAAAAAAGTGTAGTTCAGTTTTGTGCTTTTCACCCTATTTCTTTTGCCTCTCTATGGTAAAAGAGGTTTTGTTTATCTGTTCTATTTTAAGTGTTGCCAATCTCCTGGGCTCAAGTGATCCTCCCACCTCAGCCTCCCACGTAGTTGGGACTAAAGACACGCACCACCACGCTTGGCTAATTTTTGTAAACTTATTTTATTTTTTCGTGACAGAGTCTCGCTCTGTCATCTAGGCTGAAGTACAGTGGCGCAATCTTGGCTCACTGCAACCTCCGCCTCCTACGTTCAAGCAATTCTCCTGCCTCAGCCTCCTAAGTAGCTGGGATTACAGGCGTGCGCCACCACAGCAAGCTCATTTTTTATTTTTTAGTAGAGACAGGGTTTCACCATGTTGGTCAGGCTGGTCTCGAACTCCTGACCTCGTGATCCCCCTGCCTCAGCCTCCCAAAGTGCTGGGATTACAGGCATGAGCCACTGTGGCCGGCCTAATTTTTATACATTTTTAGTAGGATGAGGTCTTGCTATGTTGTCCACGCTGGTCTCAAATTCCTGAGCTCAAGTGATCCTCCTTTTGGCCTCCCAAAGTACTGGGATTATAGACATGAGCTATTGCACCTGGCTGTTTTCGTCTTCTATTCTTAGTTCAGCTTCTAGTTTTGGGAATGAAGTAGGTTATTTCCCTTGATAATACTCTGTGCAGCCTTACTGTGACTGATTGCTATTGGAGGTTCTGGAGAAGTTAGGTAATCCTTACCTGCCTTACTACCCTCAAGAATATACTATACCCAGGGCAGAGGGTGTCGTCTTCTCTTAAATCTCTCTGAAGAAATATATCCATCTTACATTGGTATCCTGACTGATTTCTGTATTGGAGAGTCTGTGGCACAACTTGATGGTGAACTTATCATTGAAATAGATGTATAGGGAAATTTAAAGCATATATGATGTAGGTTTATGGGCAGACAGATTGTGTCTGAATCTCATATAGGAGATAAAGGGAGGATGGGTGGTAACTTTTGCCCTCAAGTTTCACTGAAAATCAGCTAAGTTGTTCTCCTACTTCTGTTTACTTTTGTGTTCTCAGAACCTCAACCAGAACCCTCGGACTTTGCTGCCTAAATTCTATGGACTGTACTGTGTGCAGGCAGGTGGCAAGAACATTCGAATTGTGGTGATGAACAATCTTTTACCAAGATCGGTAAAAATGCATATCAAATATGACCTCAAAGGCTCAACCTACAAACGGCGGGCTTCCCAGAAAGAGCGAGAGAAGCCTCTTCCCACATTTAAAGACCTAGACTTCTTACAAGACATCCCTGATGGTCTTTTTTTGGATGCTGACATGTACAACGCTCTCTGTAAGACCCTGCAGCGTGACTGTTTGGTGAGTTTGTTATTTAGACACCAAAAAATCTGAGTTACTAAAACAGCTTGATTGTTCTTAGGCATTGAGTTTGTGGGAGATGGGACTCTGTTCCTTAGCACCGTATGTCCTGGGCTGTATTTAAAATAACTTTTAATTAGTTCATTGCTATTCCTTTACAGTTTTGCTTTCTCCCCATTTATCCTCCCACAGTGGGATTTATTTCCTTCTCTAGCTAGCCTGGGCCTCATAGTCAAATGTTCTGCTTATTTTCACACCAGCATCATCCTTCCTCAGATTTTGGTCCTGGCTGCCAAATCCAAATTTATATTTTGGAAGCTGAGTGCTGCTGAAGAATATTATAGAAGCATATATACTGGCATCTCTACAGATTTATGATGTCCAACCCCACTTGGGCTTTCAATATCGTTCTTCAGTCCATTTGCTGTTGCTCTCAATAGGGATTTCACATGTTTGGCACTTAACCATTTTCTGACTCTCATCTCCCTAGCTTTGTTTCTTAACAAGCTACCTTAACTTTTTATCCTATTTCATCCTCTCATGCTGCCCCTGTCATTAATAGATAAATGTATCTACGTTTTACTTTATTTTTTATTTTTTTGAGACAAGTTTCACTCTTGTCGCCCAAGTTGGAGTGCAGTGGCACGACCTCGGCTCACTACAATTTCCGTCTCCCAGGTTCAAGCGATTCTTCTGCCTCAGCCTCCCAAGTAGCTGGGATTACAGGTGCCCATCACCATGCCTGGCTAGTTTTTGTATTTTTCGTAGAGACAGGGTTTCACCATGTTGGCCCGCTGGTTTTGAACTCCTGACCTCAAGTGATCTGCCTGTCTTGGCCTCCCAAAGTGCTAGGATTACAGGTGTGAGCCAGCGCACCCGGCCTAGATATCACTCTTGACCTCTGTACTCTTCTATCATGTGAACACTTCCCAGTGTTGCACATACTAAACTGTATTGTGTTTATTTTACATTTGTATCCCTTTCTAAATGTATAATGTCCTTGAGGACAGAAACTCTCTCTTTAATATCTTTATATCTCTGTAAGGAGGCACAGTGCCTACATGGTGGGGATTCAGTAAATGTTTAACTCAATTGAAGCTAGTCATATAAGGTCCTACCACAGATCTGTTCTGTCACAAAGTGTACTTTACCACAACCTCATTGTGGAATCTTCACAGCACAAATACGTATTCCTTGTTCTCTTGAGAAGGTAGTGTTCTCTTCATGGAGACATACATGGAAAGAACAAAGACAATCTTGTGGGCTAGGCAGTGGGACTTGGAAAAATTATGTTTACTCAAATGAGAGAAAGCTAAGGGTATGTAAATAAAGACTAACCAGGCTGGGCGCGGTGGCTAACGCCTGTAATCCCAGCACTTTGGGAGGCTGAGGCAGGCAGATCACCATGTCAGGCGTTCGAGACCAGCCTGGCCAACATAGTGAAACCCCAACTCTACTAAAAATACAAAAATTAGCTGGATGGGGTGGCACTGTAATCCCAGCTACTTGGGAGGCTGAGGCAGGAGAATCGCTTGAACCAGGAGTTGGAGGTTGCAGTGAGCCAAGATCGCAACATTGCAACATTGTACTCCAGCCTGGCTACAGAGCAAGGCTCAGTCTCCAAAAAAAAAAAAAAAAAGGGGGGGGGCATAAAATAAAATAAATAAATAAATAAAATCTAGCCAGAGGGGGTTAACATACTTTTCTCCAGGGAAAAAAGTAGGAAGAGGCAAAGGATAATCCTGTGTTTAGCCTTACAGGTTCACTGTAAGGCTAAATTAAATAATTACATCATGAAAGCTGTCAAGCCAGGCATGGTGGTTCATACGAATAGTCCCAGCACTTTGGAAGGCTGAGATAGGCAGGTCCCTTGAGTCTAGAAATTAGAGACCAGCTGGGCAGCATGGTGAAACCCTGTCTCTACGGCAAATAAAAAATTAGCCAGGTGTAGTGGTGTGTGCCTGTAGTCCCAGCTACTTGGGAGGCTGAGATAGGTGGATCCTTTGAGCCTGGGAGGTTGCAGCTACAGTGAGCCGAGATCACATCACCGTACTGTAGCCTGGGTAACAGATTGAGACCCTTTCTCAAAAAAAACAAAAAAAATTGTGAGATCCTGCAAAATATTTTTATTTCTCCCAAGGCTCAGATCATGTTTTTTCCTTCCGTTAGGTTCTGCAGAGCTTCAAGATAATGGATTATAGCCTCTTGATGTCAATCCATAATATAGATCATGCACAACGAGAGCCCTTAAGCAGCGAAACACAGTACTCAGTTGACACTCGAAGACCAGCCCCCCAAAAGGCTCTGTATTCCACAGCCATGGAATCCATCCAGGGAGAGGCTCGACGGGGTGGCACCATGGAGACTGATGACCAGTGAGTGGGCTCAGGGCCACTAGGGAGGAGAACATAGGCCCACAGCACTTTTTCTTTTTCTTTTTTTTAGTTTCACTCTTGTTCAGGCTGTTGTGCAATGGCACGATCTCGACCTACTGCTACCTCCACCTCCTGAGTTCAAGCGATTCTCCTGCTTCAGCCTCCTGAGTAGCTGTGATTATAGGCGCCCACCACCACACCCAGCTAATTTTTTGTATTTTAAGTAGAGACGGGGTTTCATCATGTTGGCCAAGCTAGTCTATGAACTCCTGACCTCAGGTGATCCACCCACCTTGGCCTCTCAAAGTGTTGGGATTACAGGCGTGAGCCACCGTGCCCTGCCACAGCACTTTTTCTTTAGGAAGGGACCCAGCTTCTGGAAAGGAGTAGCCTTGACTCAGCAGTTGGATCAGTGACATTAATGTTTACAGAAGTATAGAATGAGTTTGAATGAGCTTTCTTAATATAAAAGGAAAAGAAGATTAATTTCAGGTTTATAATGTATGTGGGAAGGAGAGCTATTCAAGAATTAAAGACTTAAAAAATTATAGTCTTAGATGCGTGTCTGCAAATTATATTAGAACTTTATTATCATTTTTTAATCTTCTCTTTTTGTTAGTAATATATTAGAACTTAATAAAAAATAATTAATGGGCTGGGCACAGTGGCTCATGACAGTAATCCCAGCACTTTGGGAAGCTGAGGCAGGTGGATCACTTGAGTCCAGGAGTTTGAGATCAGCCTGACCATCATGATGAGACCTCATCGCTACAAAAAATCAAAAATTACCCAAGTGTGGTGGTGAACACCTGTGGTCCCACCTACTCAAGAGGCTGATGAGGCAGAAGAATTGCTTGAGCCCAGGATGTCAAGGCTGCAGTGAGCCACTGTACATGCCACTGCACTCCAGCCTGGGCAGAGAGAATGAGACCCACCCTGTCTCAAAAAAAAAAAAATAATAATTATAGACTTCTTTGTGGAAGGCATCCTTCTTCATCATGGATCTATCTAGTAAGTGTAATTACTGAAAGACCACAAATATTAGATTGTTTATTTTTTTAAGATATCCTGTAACATGACTCTCAAGAAGAGTGTCTTAGTGGGCATAAATTAAGATAGCAAAAGTACTGAAGTTGAATTAATTAGGAGAGCATTCCTAAAATTGCTGAGTAGTGGAATTTTAGATTCTCTTTGGTGGAATCAGAGTGGAAGAGGTAGGCAAGGAGATTTGGAGAAAACTAGATTATAATACATACTCTAGAGAGTTCCTGGGGTTAGAGAAAGGATCTCATTTTCTCCTGTTTTTTAAATATATTTTTTTCTCTTTTTGTTTTCTTGATCACTTACTGTCTGATCTCCTGGTTTATGGAAGATGAGGCAGTTATGTTTAAGTTTCACTTCCCTTTCCTGATCTGACTAAACTGGCCAACAGATTTTCTCACCCTTTCCTTTTTGCCTTTTCCAGTATGGGTGGCATCCCTGCCCGGAATAGTAAAGGGGAAAGGCTTCTGCTTTATATTGGCATCATTGACATTCTGCAGTCTTACAGGTGAGGAGCATATGGATCCCAAATTAAGAGAGGGTGGATACAGATAACCACTCATGTTTCTCTTTTAGATGGGTTTGTTGCCAAGTTCTTCCGGAAGCAAGAATAGTGAGTTGCAGTCTGGCTACTTACTTCATTAGTTTTCAGATGGTTTATTTCCTTGATTTTGCCTCTTTCCCCGGCCTTTACAACCCTCCCTTCCCCATCTCCCCAGACATAATGTATACCTTCTGTGGAAAGCTGAGTCAGTCTTGGAAGCACCAGGGTGGAATATGCCATCTGTCTGGCTCTTTGCAAAAACCTATGAGATGAGTCATGCTCCACATTGGGATACAGCTAGAAACGTTGCCCTTTTCCATGGAGGAAAAACAGGAGGGTCACTGTGTTCTGTAAAAAGTATCAGCCTGTGGAACTAAGAGGCAATGAAGTGATCATCAGGGAGGAGCTGGAAATGTTAGACCCCGGTTTTGTTCCTGTAAGGTTTTAAGTACTAATGAGGACTGGACAGTACTTGGTTTGTTGGTTCAGTATTATCATCCAGTTTTAACTACCCTTTCCAGTCTTGCCCATCTGTTCCTTCAGCTCTCCTTTTATAATAAATATTCATGTTCCTGATTTGCCAGGGACATAAATTGCCCTTTTCCCATGAGGGAATAATTGACTTACCTAGAAACAACATTGGTCTCCATGATGAACCAGCACTGCTGTGTCTGTTCTTGGGAAAACCAGTGTACCAGTAGATGTGCTTTCTCAGCTTCTGTCTTTTGAAGGTTTTCTATTAGCCCTTTAACCCCCTAAAATATAAAGTTATTAAGATCATTTATTGAAAAATGACATGAGGAGGTGATGTACATTTTTCTTGCAGGTTTGTTAAGAAGTTGGAGCACTCTTGGAAAGCCCTGGTACATGACGGGGTAAGTAGCAATACTAGAGGCTCTCTTACCCACCTCTGCCTCCATCACTTATGATTGGCCTCCTCAGTTTCTTGCAATTTTTTTCTTTTTTTTTTTTCTTTTTTTTGAGACAGGGTCTTACTCTGTCACCCAGGCTGGAGTGCAGTGGCATGATCTCGCTTACTGCAACCTCCGTCTCCCAGTTTCAAGTGATTCTCCTGTCTCAGCCTCCCGAGTAGCTGGGACTACAGGCACACGCCACCATGCCCAGCTAATTTTTGTACTTTTAGTAGAGACGGGGTTCCACCACGTTGGCCATGGCAGGTCTCAAACTCTTGATCTCAAAGTGATCTGCCCACCTTGGCCTCCCAAAGTGCTGGGTTGAGATGGAGTCTTGCTCTGTCACTCAGGCTGGAGTGCAGTAGCATGATCTCAGCTCACTTCAACCTCCACCTCCCAGGTTCAAGCGATTCTCATGCCTCAGCCTCCCATGTAGCTGGGATTACAGGTACCCGCTACCATGCCTGACTAATTTTTGTATTTTTAGTAGAGATGAGGTTTTGCCATGTTGAACAGGCTGGTCTCGAACTCCTGACCTCAGGTGATCTGCCCACCTCGACCTCCCAAAGTGCTAGGATTACAGGCGTGAGCCACCATGCCCGGCCTTTTCCATTTATTTCATTTGTGGGTTTTACCCTTCTGCTAGGGGCTCAGTCTGGGGGAAGATAGCCCTTGGACTAAAGGTCCTCTTGCTGGGCCTCCCTCTAACTCTATAGCATTTCTTCTGCTCTGCAGGACACTGTCTCAGTGCATCGCCCAGGCTTCTACGCTGAACGGTTCCAGCGCTTCATGTGCAACACAGTATTTAAGAAGATTCCCTGTAAGTGGTTTCTACCAAGTGACTGCCTACTCTGACCAGTGGCTCCCTTACCCCAAGAGAACAGAGGGCAGGACACCTCTGGTAGGGAGCTGCCAACGCCAGAGGCCTCTCCTCCCACCTACATCCCATGAGAGCCATTTCTTATCCTTTGTGTTAGTCAGTCTGTCACAGTCGTTTCCAAGTTGCTGTTTCCCCCTTGGCTCTTCCTGCATATGTCAATGAGGTAAGGGCCATTTCTGGGGAACTGGGATTTGCAAAAAAAAAAAAAAAGTGTAGTTGTGGATGTGGGATCCATGCCACAGAGATAGGCAGAGCCAGACTTTTATGTACAGAGATACGCAATGAGGTTACCAGTGTTCTGTTTTATCTTCTAGACTATCTCAAGTGGTTAGAGAAGCATTTACTGATTTCTGCTTAGCACATGTTTGTAGTCTCTTTCCTCAACTTTCTTGTTTAGAAAGTGCCAATATTCTTTTTTTGCAAATCTTCCATGCTGCTGCCACAGCAAATTCTAACTTCTCTTTCCCTTCTTCTCCTATTAGGCATCATTAGTCACATGGCAAGGGAGAGGGGACCTAGGCATGCCAGATAGTCTTAAGGGATATGGAAAACCCAGGCTGGGTGCAGTGTCTCACACCTATAATCCCAGCACTTTGGGAGACCAAGGCAGGAGGATCAGTTAAGCCCGGGAGTTTGGAACCAGCCTGGGCAACATGATGAGACTTCATCTCTACAAAAAATTTTAAAAAGATAAGGAAAAAAATCATTTCAGTCTTTACAAAATGATAAATATACAAGGGTCAATTATTTAGTGCTGGGCACATACGTGCTAAGAAGATGTAGAGTGAAAGAGTTACCTTTCTTGACCGGGCACAGTGGCTCATGCCTGTAATCCCAGCACTTTGGGAGGCCAAAGCAGGTGAATCACCTGAGGTCAGGAATTCGAGAAGTCTGACCAACATGTTGAAACCCCGTCTCTACTAAAAATACAAAAATTAGCCGGGTGGTGGTGCGCACCTATAATCTCAGCTACTCAGGAGGCTGAGGCAGGAGAATCACTTAAACCCGGGAGGAAGAGGTTGCAGTGAGCTGAAATAGGGCCATTGCCTGGGTGACAGGAGAGAAACTTCATCTCAAAAAAAGTTCTTAGGTTTTACTATAGGATACTATTAAAGAAAAAAGGGGGCCAGGCGCAGTGGCTTACGCCTGTAATCCCAGCACTTTGGGAGGCCGAGGCGGGCGGATCATGAGGTTAGGAGATCGAGACCATCCTGGTAACATGGTGAAACCCCTCTCTACTAAAAATACAAAAAAAAAATTAGCCTGGCATGGTGGTGGGCGCCTGTAGTCCCAGCTACTTGGGAGGCTGAGGCAGGAGAATGGCGTGAACCCGGGAGGCGGAGCTTGCAGTGAGCCGAGATCGCGCCACTGCACTCCAGCCTGGGCGACAGAGTGAGACTCCATCTCAAAAAAAAAAAGGAAAAGAAAAAGTGGGCGGGGGAAGTGGCACACACCTGTAATCCCAGCACTTTGGGAGGCAGAGGTGGGTAGACCACCTGAGGTCAGGAGTTCGAGACCAACCTGACCAATATGGTGAAACCCCGTCTCTACTAAAAATACAAAATTAGCTAGGCATAGTGGCGCATGCCTGTAATCCTAGCTACCCAGGGGGCTGAGGCATGAGAATCACTTGAACCCTGGAGGCGGAGGTTGCAGTGAGCCAAGATCGCGCTATTGCACTCCAGCATAGGCAAACGAGCAAAACTCCATCTCAAAAAAAAGGAATAATGCATTAGGGTACGTTTCATCTGATGGAAGTAGAGCAGCTGTCAAGGCTCCATGTTGGAGGGGTAGGTGTGGATATGTTTCCTTTCTTCTAGGTTTTATGCCTCTTGGAAAGTGAAGTGAGCTAACACCTTGTTCTCTGAATAGTAGTTCATAGAGCCCATCTTTGTTGACATTAGCTTTTTCACTTTTCAGACCAACTTTGGGTGTGTGTTGGGGATACTAGCAATTACTTGTATGGATGTCTTGGTAATGGTTGCTAAGGTGGTTGCTAAGTAGGCTCTCTCTTTCCCTTTTGAAGTGAAGCCTTCTCCCTCCAAAAAGTTTCGGTCTGGCTCATCTTTCTCTCGGCGAGTAGGCTCCAGTGGCAACTCCTGCATTACTTACCAACCATCGGTCTCTGGGGAACACAAGGCACAAGTGACAACAAAGGCGGAAGTGGAGCCAGGTCAGCACTATGGCTGGGGTCTCCACGTGATTGGGTGCTCCTTCCCTTCCTTCTGAGCCTTTACCTTGTCCGGCTAGGACCTCTGCTCCCATTTCTATCCAGGAAGCCAAGCTGCTACATATTTTTCCTTGTATTTACCGTACCCCATCTTCTCTTTCTTTTTTCTAGGCGTTCACCTTGGTCGTCCTGATGTTTTACCTCAGACTCCACCTTTGGAGGAAATCAGTGAGGGCTCACCTATTCCTGACCCCAGTTTCTCACCTATAGTTGGAGAGACTTTGCAAATGCTAACTACAAGGTTTGTTTATTGGCCCCTTTCTCCATATAATCTTATCTCTCTTTTCAAGTCCTTGGAAACCTCTATAATATGATTGCATCGTAATAAATTACCCCAAGGGTTAGTGGCTTAAAATAACAAACATATATCATACTTTCTGTGGGTCAGGAATCCAGGCCCAGCTTAGCTGGGTCCTCTGGCTCAAGATTTCTCATGAGGTGGCATTTAAGCTGTTGGCCAGGGCTAGGGTCTCATCTGAAGGCTCAAATAGGAGAATCTGCTTCTAAGCTTATTTATGTGGTTATGGGTAGGATTTCGTTCCTTGTGGGTTGCTGAACTGAAGGCCTTAGTTCCTTGCTGGCTGTTGTCTGGGGGCTTCCCTCAGTTCTTTGCTACATGGACTTCTCCATAGGACAGCTCAGAACATGGCACCTGGCCTATCTGACAGTGAACAAGAGAGTATGTGCCTATGCAGAAACCATAGCCTCTTATAAGTTAACCTCAGAATTGACATTCTACTACTTGTGCTATATTCTGTTCACTAAATGCAGCCCACACTCAAGAGGTAGGGATTACCCAGAGGTGTGAATACCAGGAGGCGCAGGGATCATCTGCCCTCTGGTCTTCAGGAATTTACATACCTCCATGTCCAAAATAAACTGACCCCTTCCAGGATCTCCAGAAGTTTCATCCCATTGTAGCATTAGCTCAAAGTCCAGAGTTTTATTACTTAAATTAGGTCCAGGTTTGGATGAGCCCCCCAGGTATAGTTCCTTAAGCAGAGCTCCTCACGTACAGTTCTTCTCAATCTGTGAACTTGTGGAACTAGAGACAGTTATTATTCCCCTGTGTACCTAGCATACAGTGGTGAGACAGGCATTAGATAACCAATATACACATTTCTGTACATAAAAGAGGAGAATGGGAGGCACAAAAAGGAGTCATTGATTTTATTAGCTGTTCCAAAATCCAGGAAATGTTGGAGTTTCTTTTATTAGGCCTCAAAGCAGAATAATTCTCCATGGTTCTTGGCTCTACCCTCTAGACTCTTGGTTTTGTCTTTTGAGTCTTCCTTTTTCATCAAAGCTAGAGTGTATTTTTACCTGAGTTCTTTTCTCAGCCTGCTTCTTTCCAGTAGAATTTTGGGGGAACTAGTGGTCTCTTTATTTTGTACTGTTTGTCTTTTTTGATCCAAGGTGGCAGTGTTTCTACTGATACAGAAGATTTTGTGGGCCTCCTGTGATTCTCTTTTTTTTTTTTTTGAGACAGAGTCTCGCTCTGTCGCCCAGGCTACAGTGCAGTGGCACGATCTCAGCTCACTGCAAGCTCCGCCTCCCGGGTTTACGCCATTCTCCTGCCTCAGCCTCCCAAGTAGCTGGGACTACAGGCGCCCGCCACCTCGCCCGGCTAGTTTTTTGTACTTTTTAGTAGAAACGGGGTTTCACCATGTTAGCCAGGATGGTCTCAATCTCCTGACCTTGTGATCCGCCTGTCTCGGCCTCCCAAAGTGCTGGGATTACAGGCTTGAGCCACCGCGCCCGGCCGAGCCTCCTGTGATTCTCTTTGGGATTTACTCCATTAGACAAAAGCCACACTCATAAATATCTTCTTCATGAGACCTAAGCTTACAGACCCTGCTTTTCGGTTGAAAGGATCTGTGAGACATAATCTTTTGAACAGCCTTTTGTATGACTGAATAGCGCCATCAGCCCTCCATATCCACAGGTTCCACATCCCAGATTCAACCAACTGTGGACTGAAAATACTTGAGAGCCTGGTATGGTGACTCATGCCTGTAATCCCACCATTTGGGAGGCTGAGGTGGGAGGACTGCTTGAGGCAGTTTGAGACCAACCTGGTCAATAAAATGAGACCCCTGTCCCTTAAAAAAAAAAAAAAGAAAAAAAAAGAAAAGAAAAAATACTAAAAAAAAAAAAAAAATTCTGAAAATGTTATGTTGCTGACATGTACTGTACAGTTAGGCCTACAATGGTTGTGTCTGTACTTAACATGTACAGAATTTTCTTGTCATTATTCCCTGAACAATGCAGTATAACAGCTATTTACATAGTATTTCCATTGCATTAGTTATTATAAATAATCTAGGAATGATTTAAAGTATATGGAGGGCCAGGCGTGATGGCTCACACCTGTAATCCCAACACTTGTGGGAGATAGAGGCGGCCAGATTACTTGAGCCTAGAAGTTTAAGATCAGCCTGAGCAACATGGTGAAATCCCGTCTCTACCAAAAATATAAAAAAATTAGGTAGGCGTGGTGGTATGTGCCTGTAGTCCCAGTTACTCAGGAGGCTGAGGCAGGAGGATCGCTTGAACCCAGGAGGCAGAGGTTGCAGTAAGCTGAAATCGTGCCACTGGACTCCAGCCTGGGTGACAGAGCGAGACCCTTTCTCAAAAAAATAAATAAATAAAAATAAAGTATATGAAGGATGTGCATAAGTTATATGCAAATACTATACCATTCTATGTAAGGGACTTGTGCTTGTGGATTTTGATATTCAAGGAGAGGTTCTGGAACCAGTTCCTCACAGATACTGAGGGCTGACTATACTCTGAACCAATACCTTTTGTTTTTCTGAGGTCTTATTGAAATGTTTCACAGTCACGTTTGGCTTCATCTGTAGATCACATTTTCTTGGCAGTGCCCTGGAGCTTATCCTTGCTCAAAAGCCTTTTTTTTTTTTGGGGGGGTAGACATGATGTCTCAGTGTGTTAACCAGGCTGGTCTTAAACAGTCCTCCTCCCTCTGCCTCCTAAAGTGAGCCACAGTATGTGGCCTATCATTTCTTAATTTTAGCATCGTTTGCTCTCTGGAGAGGCTTAGAATTTTCAAAACCTATCAAGTTCTGGTATTTTTGTTTAATAGTCCTTCCCATAATTTCTTTCTGTTCTCTTACATTTTACTATAAGCATCAAGAGAAAACCAGGTGGCACCTTCAGGACTTTGCTTGGAAATCTCCTTAGCTAGATTGTCCAATTCTTTAGGCACATAGTCTACTTTTCACATAATCACAAATCACATTGTTGCTAAACTTTATGCTGCTACCTTACTAGGATCTCCTTTCCTTCAATTTCCAATAAAATTTTTCTCAGTTTAAGCCCTCACTGGTAACCCCATTTAAGTCCAAAATTCTATAAACAGCATATTCAGAACACTAACTTTTCACTAAAATGCTCCTCCAAGCCACCCCCAATGTTTTGTTTTGTTTTGTTTTGTTTTTGTTTTTTGAGATGGAGTCTCACTTTGTTGCCCAGGCTGCAGTTCAGTGGCACAATCTTGGCTCACTGCAATCTCCGCTGACAGGGTCTCCCTCTGTCCCCCAGGCTAGAATGTAGTGGCACTATCTTGGTTTATTGCAACTACCTCCTCCCAGATTCAAGTGATTCTCCTACTTCAGCCTCCCGAGTACCTGGGATTATAAGCATGCACCATCATGCCTGGCTAATTTTTGTATTTTTGATAGAGACGGGGTTTTGCCATGTTCCTCAGGCTGGTCTTGAGCTCGTGGCCTCAGGTGATCTGCCTGCCTCAGGCTCCCAAAGTGCTGGGATTGCAGGCATGAGCCACCGCACTGGGCCACCACCCCCAAATTTTAGATTTTTGTTAAAGCAGCACCTCAATTCCAGGTGCAAAAATCTGTATTATCTATTATTGTGTAACAAATTACCCCAGACTTAGCTGTCAAAAACAAACATTTGTTATCTCAGTCCGAGTGTGGTGGCTCACCTGTAATCCTAGCACTTTGGGAGGCCAAGGAGGGCGGATCACCTGAGGCCAGGAGTTCGAGACCAGCCTGGCCAACATGGTGAAACCCTGTCTCTACTAAAAATGTAAAAATTAGCCAGGCGTGGTGATGCGTGCCTATAATCCCAGATACTCAGGAGGCTGAGGTGAGAGAATTGCTTGAACCCGGGAGGCAGAGGTTGCAGTGAGCCATAATCGTGCCACTGCACTTCAGCCTGGGCAACAGTGAGATCTGTCTCAAAAAAAAAGAAAACAAAAATTTGTTATCCCAGTTTCTGTACCTTAGCTGGATGTCTTTGGCTCGGGTTCTCTCTGGAGATTACAGTCAAGCTATTAGTCCAGAAGCTTATCTGAGGGAAGATCAGGTTCTCAGCTCACTTACATGGTTGTTGGCAGTATTCGGTTCCTTTGTCACATCTCCCTCTCCATAGCCAGCTCTTAGCATAGGAGCTGAATTTCCTCAGAGCAGGCAAGCAGGGGCTAGAGCATGAGTCCAAGAAGAAGCTATGATATTTTTATAATCTCATCTCTGAATTGACATTCCATCTCCTGTGCCGCATTCTGTCCAGAAGAGAATCACTAAGTGCAGCCTACACTCGAGAGGGGAGAGAATTACACAATGGCATGGATCTCAGGAGGCAGGGATTACTGGGGGGAATCTTAGAGAGTACCTACCACATCTGGAGATTGAAACAGAAGAGGGCAGAGTACTGGGAAATGTTTTACAGTATTCAAGAAGCCAAATATAGTTAATTAAAACAGTGTGCTTTGCCGGGAGCTGTGGCTCACGCCTTTAATCCCAGCACTTCGGGAGGCCGAGGCGGGCGGATCACAAGGTCAGGAGATCGAGACCATCTTGGCTAACATGGTGAAACCCCGACTCTATTAAAAATACAAAAAAAAATTAGCTGGGTGTGGTGGTGGATGCCTGTAGTCCCAGCTACTCAGGAGGCTGAGGCAGGAGAATGGCGTGAACCCTGGCGGAGCTTGCAGTGAGCAGAGATCGTGCCACTGCACTCCAGCCTGGGTGACAAAGCGAGACTCTGTCTCAAAAAAAAATAAAACAGTATGCTTCAAAATCTAGTAGCTTCTTAGCCTCTTCTTTCCAAATTCTAAATTGATTCTGAAGTGAAAATTAGAGAAGCAGTATGAGATTTAAGAGGGGAGTCCTTTGTTGTTGTCTTCTAATTCTTTTTCTCTCTGCTTCTGTTTTTTTTTCGCCTGTTAGTACAACCTTGGAAAAGCTTGAAGTTGCAGAGTCAGAGTTCACCCATGTGAGTGTCTGGGATGTGTGGGAGGTGAACGTTTTGCAGGGTATAAAGAGGATCACTCATGGCCTGGAGCAGGATTTTAATTGGCAAGATTAGAGGACCTGGGTACCTCCTAAATCTTGTTTTTTATTTTTTATTTTGTTTTTATTTTTATTTATTTATATATTTTTTTGAGATGGAGTCTCACTCTGTTGCCCAGGCTGGAGTGCAATGGTGCAATCTTGGCTCACTGCAACCTCCGCTTCCTGGGTTCAAGCAGTTCTCCTGCCTCAGCCTCTGGAGTAGCTGGGACTACAGGTGCACGCCACCATGCCTGGCTAATTTTTGTATTTTTTAGTAGGGGCACGGTTTCACCATATTGGACAGTCTGGTCTCGAACCTCTGGTGTCGTGATCACAGGTGTGAGCCATTGCACCCAACCATCATGTTTGTTTTGTTTTTGTTTTTGTTTTTGTTTTGTTTTGTTTTTTTGAGACTGAGTCTCGCTCTGTGGAGTGCAGTGGCCTCTCAAAGTGCTGGGATTACAGGCATGAGCTACCGCGCTCGGCCGCCATCTTGTTTTTTAAAAAAAATCTTTGGAGGCTGAAGCTGAAATAGAAACTTCTTAACGCTTGAAATCCATTCCTGCTTAATCTCATACTCTCATACTCCACATCCTTAACTTTACACTCTCCTTTTACAGTAAGCGCAAAGCCTCAGAAGACCTGGAACAAGATTCTGCCATCTCTGTGATCCCGAGATGTGTCAGCCCTTGCCCCAGCAATGCTGAATTTTCTTCTACTTGGTCATCAAAAAAGGAGTGTAATAGAAGCGAGGGGAGCTCCTCCTCCATCTTCTTACTGAAGAAGAACCTCCCCTCCTTCCCCTTCCTCATGAATGGGCATTAGTGCCTCAGACAGTTGAGGACCGAAGCATCCCCTCCACTCCAGAGTTGGGTGGTAAGGATTTTCAACTGGCTAACCCTTGGCCTCCACAATTGAATTTTTTTCAGACCCCCATTCTTCATGCTGGAAATGGGATTGCTGTACTTGGCAGTTTTCTTTCCCCTCATCTTTGACCAGGAACTGGACTCTTAGTTTCCTCAGGACAGACTAGCTGGCACATTATCTCCACCTTAGTTCTTTCTCCCTGATCCCTGGAAGAATACCCCTGTAATCTCTGTAAAGGTTTTTGGGGGGATAAGGGAGTTTAACCACCTCCCAGCGTTCTTTTTTTTTTTTTTTTTTTTTCTGAAAAAAGGAAAAAGCGCACAGCACACAGTTTCAAGCCAGCTTCAGATCAAAACTCCAGAAGTGTTGACAAGATGCCTATTCGTAGGGTTCCCTCAGAAGAGCCATGGTGTTTGTGAAGAGAAGAGTAGTGATTGCTCTGCCAGAAGCAGCTCCTCTTTAAGCCCCTCCTTTCTTGATGAATTTCTTAAGGCTGAAGGAATGGAGAGTGGGACATGGGGTAATCTTTACCCCTTTTGTTAAAACAGGAGGCAGCCATGGGCTGGGAGATCATAGCCCTTCCTAGGCAGAATCCTGTTCACTGCCAAGCTATAATAATTATTACTATTTTGCAATTTGAAATATATTCTGGTTGATTTTCTAAATGTGAAGACTTACTAAATGAATTTTAGATCATTCTCCAAAGGAGATTTTTTTGCTCTTCTCATCTTTTCCAACAGTGTTCTCCTGTTTGTGGAGCTAAGGTGAAGAGGGGACACCTGTCTGTTTTATCAGGCAGTCCGTATCTATGAGACCAGTAAATATTTTCTTAAACTCATGGGGAGACAGCAGATTCTTGCCTTGGTGAGGTCATTGCTGTGCCATATGTCCTACCCCCCTGTCTTCATGCAGGGAAGTTGGAAATGGGGGCTACATATGCCCTCTCCTCCCCATCTACAAGAGTTGTGGTTTTCCATCTGATTCTTCCACTCTTGTCAGGGGAAGAAGGGGGCCTGGTATCTCAGGCAGATTGTTGAATTCTTGTTCTATCCCTTCTCTATCCCACCCTGCCTTGATAATATGTTAGCCCATACCCCAAATAACTGTCTATATTAGACACCCCCAGCCAGTTTCTGGCTGCCTGTCTTTGCTGCCATGTTCTTTTTTACAAGAAGGAAAGAGTTCTTGCTATTTTTTTTCATAATTTACTATTTATGATGTATTTAAGTGTTTTATTAAGGACACAGTTCTGTTAGGGGTGGGAGGGAATATTTAAGGGAGGGCTGGATCTTAGGGAAAGGAATGGGGAATCAACATTTTTATGAAGTGTCACTATTTGCCTTTACTTTGTATTGTTCAGAAATGGCAAATACAATATAAAAGTGATACATGGTTTTAATGTAATAAACTTTAATCGGTTATTTAGATCTCTTATTTCTTCTGATTCTTTTTCATATACCATCTGCTCACCCTCCTACTCCACCACCCAGGCTCAGTTTTGTTCGTGTTACCCTAAACAAAGGCTGCATACTTTCCAGCTTGCAACACTGCAGCTTCACTCTTAAGGCTTTATGTCCGTATGTCCTCTTCCTCAGCAACCCTATTGTCTTCACAAGGAAAAGCAGTGAATGAATATGAGGGGAATTACTGTAGGTCTCTTGCCTAGGTTGCAACCCAGTTTAACAGGGATTTGGAGATTCAAAACTCATTTTACTCAGGTTTAAGAAGAAAGGAGAGGGACAGTGGGAAAAGTAAGTTTGAGGTTGCTGGCCTTAGTGATTCCCTCCCTTTCATTCCCTTGACCTGGCCCTAGGGTGTCACTCTTAGAAGATCATAGAGATCGCAATGCATGGAGTAGTTGGAGATCAAAGAAATAATTGTCCTTCAAGAGTTTCTAGTTTCTGGGAGGAACACAAATACACGAAAACAATGTATTATATGTGAGACAGCTACTTAAGCTATCTGAAGGTGGCACAGAACATAAAAGGGGGAAAAATTGACAGTTATGTGGGATAAAAGTGTTAGAGAATGTTTCACTTCCAGCACAAGGACTAGATGCACGAGAATGGCCTGTTTTTGAGAACAAGGAAGAGATCATGGTGAGAATATTGGAATAGGTATAGTTAGAGGCAATATTGGGAACCCTGAAATATTTTTTGCCCCTAATAGGATGTGATACAAAATAATTGAGAGACTAACAAAGTTTCATCAGAATTAATAGAGGATTGGCCGGGTCCAGTGGCTCACATCTGTAATCCCAGCACTTTGGGAGGCCAAGGCAAGTGGATCACTTGAGGCCAAGAGTTAAAGAGCAGCCCGGTCAACAATGTGAAACCCCATCTCTACTAAAAAATACAAAAATTAGGCCAGGTGTGGTGGGTCACACTCGTAATCCCAGCACTTTGGGATGATGAGGCGAGCAGATCACCTGAGGTTGGGAGTTTGACCAACATGGAGAACCAACATGACCAACATGGAGAAAACCCGTCTTTACTAAAAATAGAAAAAATTAGCCGGGCGTGGTGGGTGCACGCCTGTAATCCCAGCTACTTAGGATGCTGAGTCAAGACAATCTCTTGAACCTGAGAGGCAGAGGTTGCGGTGAGCCAAGATTGAGCCATTGTACTCCAGCCTGGGCAACAAGAGTGAAACTCCTTCTCAAAAAAAAAAAATTAGCCAGGCATGGTGGCAGGTGCCTGTAATCCCAGCTACTTGGGAGGCTGAGACAGGAGAATCACTTGAACCCGGGAGGCAGAGGTTGCAGTGGCTGAGATTGCACCATTCATTGCATTCCACCCTGGCAACAGAGGGACACACTGTCTCAAAAAAAAAAAAAAAAAAAAAAAAAAAAAAAGGCACCGTACTTGGATTGGAAGAGGAATGGGGATTCTCAAAGTTTCTTTTTCTTTTTCTTTCTTTTTTTTTTTTTGAGACAGTTTCACCATGTTTGCCAGGTTGGTCTCAAACTCCTGGCCTCAAGTGATTTGCCCGCCTCGGCCTCCCAAAGTGCTGGGATTACAGGCGTGAGCCACCACACCCAGCCCAGATTCTCAAAGTTTTGAATTTGATTTTCCCACAGCCCCAGCCAGTCCTCCTTTTGTCTGAATAAGGAGAACACTTTTTTCTCTAATAGAAATTGGAGGTTAACATGTTTTAGGCATAAATGTTCTGCTTCCCTGACCTTGTCACTCAGAGTGTACTCAACTACTGAGTGGGGTGGTGTAGATAATCCTCTTATGATCAGAGGGTCCCTCTAGCGGTGAGCAGCGACTAGCGCTTATTCTCTAGCTATATCCTCTAATTTATATTCAGATACAAGTAGGGTCTGTTAGTATAAAACTTCTAACTAAAAGAGAAATTAAAATCATAGGGTAATAAAGTTGGAAATCATCATCTGGTCTGACATTTTACTCTTAAGCATGTCAATCTCAGCTATTCTGAAAAGTATTCAGAGATGAAGTCTCATTCTTTATTAGTTTTTCTTTTTTTCTTTTTTTGAGATGGAGTTTCACTCTTGTCACCCAGGCTGGAGTACAATAGCACGATCTTGGCTCACTGCAACGTCCTCTTCCTCAGCAACCCTATTGTCTTCACAAGGAAAAGCAGTGAATGAATATGAGGGGAATTACTGTAGGTCTCTTGCCTAGGTTGCAACCCAGTTTAACAGGGATTTGGAGATTCAAAACTCATTTTACTCAGGTTTAAGAAGAAAGGAGAGGGACAGTGGGAAAAGTAAGTTTGAGGTTGCTGGCCTTAGTGATTCCCTCCCTTTCATTCCCTTGACCTGGCCCTAGGGTGTCACTCTTAGAAGATCATAGAGATCGCAATGCATGGAGTAGTTGGAGATCAAAGAAATAATTGTCCTTCAAGAGTTTCTAGTTTCTGGGAGGAACACAAATACACGAAAACAATGTATTATATGTGAGACAGCTACTTAAGCTATCTGAAGGTGGCACAGAACATAAAAGGGGGAAAAATTGACAGTTATGTGGGATAAAAGTGTTAGAGAATGTTTCACTTCCAGCACAAGGACTAGATGCACGAGAATGGCCTGTTTTTGAGAACAAGGAAGAGATCATGGTGAGAATATTGGAATAGGTATAGTTAGAGGCAATATTGGGAACCCTGAAATATTTTTTGCCCCTAATAGGATGTGATACAAAATAATTGAGAGACTAACAAAGTTTCATCAGAATTAATAGAGGATTGGCCGGGTCCAGTGGCTCACATCTGTAATCCCAGCACTTTGGGAGGCCAAGGCAAGTGGATCACTTGAGGCCAAGAGTTAAAGAGCAGCCCGGTCAACAATGTGAAACCCCATCTCTACTAAAAAATACAAAAATTAGGCCAGGTGTGGTGGGTCACACTCGTAATCCCAGCACTTTGGGATGATGAGGCGAGCAGATCACCTGAGGTTGGGAGTTTGACCAATATGGAGAACCAACATGACCAACATGGAGAAAACCCGTCTTTACTAAAAATAGAAAAAATTAGCCGGGCGTGGTGGGTGCACGCCTGTAATCCCAGCTACTTAGGATGCTGAGTCAAGACAATCTCTTGAACCTGAGAGGCAGAGGTTGCGGTGAGCCAAGATTGAGCCATTGTACTCCAGCCTGGGCAACAAGAGCGAAACTCCTTCTCAAAAAAAAAAAATTAGCCAGGCATGGTGGCAGGTGCCTGTAATCCCAGCTACTTGGGAGGCTGAGACAGGAGAATCACTTGAACCCGGGAGGCAGAGGTTGCAGTGGCTGAGATTGCACCATTCATTGCATTCCACCCTGGCAACAGAGGGACACACTGT